GATGTGGTTGCCCTCCAACAGGTTACCCGTTTGTTCCAGAAATAGACTTTTATCTGTTAAGTCTAGTTCTGGCTAAAAAAAAATTTTTACATCAATATACGTGACTTCACCATAGGTCTATTGCGACACGCAGGCTACTCCATCAGCAGGTCTACAAGGAAACAGATAAAAAATAATAAAAGGAAATATAACCATCATATATAAGGGAGTTTCAATTCCTCATGGAGGTTCTCAATGTTTATTTTATAGAGATTATAATTCACTTCCTCACAATCTACGCTAAACTCTCCTTCCTGATTCCTGGTATTTAAACATAACTCAATGGTTTTTCATGTGCTTACTTTATTTCAATATGAATATTTTCTCTAACTGCATAATATACAGTATTATATGTATATTATATAATTAACCAGATCAATGTACTTCCATATAAATAGTGAATATGTCAGTCACACAACATAGTCAATGCTTATATGGAGGTACATTGCTCTGATTAAGCCGTATGTTTGTGGTAATTTTTGTTAGCATTTTGAATTTGCAATGTGTGTGTGTGTGTGTATATATATATATAGTTTTTATTATTCATTGAATATACAATAATGTTGTTGTTTTTTTATTAGAAATGTGTGCGGTTCGTGTTCTTTTCTCTTGTTCTACTTGTATTCAGCCACTAGGGGGCTGTACCAAAGCTTACTGTACCTATTTTATGCCCCTGCTTTTTATTAATTAGAGTAAATTTCACAGCTTACCTGGAGCCCGCCAGAGGCTGAGCACCTACTCTTGTGCCCTCTGCAGCTGCTGCACTGAACTGCGCTCAACGGTACAGGACTTAGGGAGATTGGCTAGGAGTGCTCAGCTAATGCTCTCAGCAAATGCAACGGAAGGCAGAATAGTTGGGACTAGAAAGAATCAAGGGAAACCAGAAACCAAACGATAAGACATAGAAACATAGAATGTGATGGCAGATAAGAACCATTCGGCCCATCTAGTCTGCCCAAATACTTTTAATTAGTCCCTGGCATTATCTTAAGTCTAGGATAGCCTATCCCATGCATGCTTAAACTCCCTCACTGTCCTCTTGTTGTGGTAGTTTTTCTTCTTTTAAATATGGTCTCCTCCTTTACTGTGTTGATTCCCTTTATGTATTTAATTGTTTCAGTCATATCCCCCCCGTCTCATCTTTCCTCCATGCTCCACATGTTAAGATCCTTTAACCTTTCCTGGTAAGTTTTTTCCTGCAATCCATGAACCAGTTTAATAGCCCTTTTCTGAACTCTTTCCAAAGTATCAATATCCTTCTGAAGATACGGTCTCCAGTACTGTGTACAATACTTCAAGTGAGGTCTCACCAGTGTTCTGTACAATGGCATGAGCACTTCCCTCTTTTTACTGCTAATACCTCTCCCTATACAACCAAGCATTCTGCTAGTATTTCCTGCTACTCTATTACATTGTCTGCCTACCTTTAAGTCATCTGAAATAATTACTCCCTTACTCAGATGTTGAGGTTAGTAGGGTATCAAATATTCTATACTCTGCCCTGGGGTTTTTACGCCCAAGGTGCATTATCTTGTCAGTTTCCACAGCTCTGACCATTTTTCTAATTTACCTGAATCGTTTTCCATTTGGGTTATCCCTCCTAGAACATCAACCCTGTTGCAAATTTTAGTATCATCAGCAAAAAGACATACCTTACCATCAAGACCTTCTGCAATATCACCAATAAAAATATTAAAGAGAATGGGTCCAATTACAGATCCCTGAGATACCCCACTGCTAACTAGACCTTGCTTCGAATATACTCCGTTGACTACAACCCTCTGTTGCCTGTCATTCAGCCACTGCCTAACCCATTCAGCAATATTGGAATCCAAACTTAAAGATTGCAGTTAATTGATACGCCTTCTACGTCCAACAGTGTCAAAAGCCTTACTGAAATCTTAGTAAGCAATGTCTACTGCACCACCCTGATCTGTTATTTTAGTTACCCAATCAAAAAAATGAATAAGATTAGTTTGGCATGATCTCCCTGAAGTAAACCCATGTATCTGATCTTGAAATCCATGTGATTTTAGATGTTCAACAATTCTGTCCTTTAACAAGGATTCCCCACTTTCCCCACTACTGAAGTAAGGCTTACTGGCCTATAGTTACCCTACTACCTTTCTTGTGAATGGGCACAACATTCGCTAACTTCCAATCTTCTGGGACTACTCCTGTTAACGACTGGTTAAATAAATCCGTAAATGGTTTTGCTAGTACACCACTAAGTTCTTTTAATACATTTGGGTGTATCCCATCACACGAGTTACTGTGTGATTACCAAAATTCTAACATAACCCAAACTGACTCTATGTTCACCTCACTAACTTTTATTAGGCTAAATTTTATGCTATCATTCACATACAGGACCTTTCTTGCCTTTTCTGTCTTTTCTATATAAAGACTACCCTGGTATTGCTATTACATAGTTACATAGCAGAAAAGAGACTTGCGTCCATCAAGTTCAGCCTTTCTCACATTTGTTTTTGCTGTTGATCCAAAAGAAGGCAAAAAACCTAGTCTGAAGCCCTTCCAATTTTGCAACAAACTAGGAAAAAAATCCTTCTTGACCCCAACATAGCAGTCAGATGTCTCCTTGGATCAAGCAGCTATTACCCCACTAATTAGAAATTATATCCCTGTGTGTTATGTTTTTGTAAGTATTTATCCAATTGCAGTTTAAACATCTGTATAGAATCCGACAAAACCACCTCTTCAGGCAGAGAATTCCATATCCTTAGTGCTCTTACTGTAAAAAAACCTTTTCTTTGCCTTAGATGAAATCTACTTTCTCCCAGCCTAAATGTGTGATCTCATGTCCTATGTATAGCCCTGCTTATGAATAGATTTCCAGATAAAGGTTTGTACTGGCCCCGAATATATTTGTATAATGTTATCATATCCCCTCTCAGGCGCCATTTTTCCAAATTAAACAGAATTACATTTTATAACCTTTCTTCGTAACTAAAATGCTCCATTCCTTTTATCAATTTTGTCGTCTCTGCACTTTTTCTAGTGCCATGATATCTTTCTTTAGAACAGGTGCCCAAAATGGCACAGCATATTCAAGGTGTGGTCTTACCAGCGATTTATAAAGTGGCAAAATTATATTTTCATCCCGAGAATTTATGCCCCTATTTATACATGACAAAACCTTACTGGCCTTAGCAACGGCAGATTGACATTGCATATTGCTGTTTAATTTGTTGTATATAACAATTCCCAAATCCTTCTCGTGTGTGGTTATCCCTAATTCACTACCATTTAGGATGTAAATTGCTTGTGCATTCTTAACCCCGAAGTGCATAATTTTGCATTTCTCTACATTAAATTTCATCTGCCATTTTAGTGCCCAGTCCCCCAATCTATCCAAATCCCTCTGCAGCAAGGCAATATCCTGCTCACATTTCATTACAAAGTTTTGTGTCATCTGCAAACACTGATACATGGCTTTCAATGCCTATTTCAAGATCATTTAGAAATATGTTAAGTAAAAGCGGTCCCAAAACAGAACCCTGAGGGACACCACTTACCACTTTTGTCTAGCCTGAAAATTTACCATTAATGACAACTCGTTGTACTCTATCCTTAAACCAGTGTTCTACCCAACAACAAGAATATTCATCTAGACCAATTTCTTTTAGTTTGAAGACTAACCTATTGTGAGGAACCGTATCAAAAGCTATGTCCCACTCATTTTTCTCGTTATACAATGTCTCAGTAACAGCGACTAAATCTACATTCTCAGTTGCCATTATTGCCACAAGTTCATGGATCTTATTCCCTAAACTGCGAGCATTTGTAGACATGACTCTAAGCTTATAATTTTTTACACACTCCCTACAGTAGAATCCAATAATGCTGTCAGGCATTAGTTATTAACGGCAATAAAGTTATTTAAACATGACACTTCTTTAATGTTTAAATATATGCAGCCTGTGACACCTCTGTTCTTCCTTCTTTAATCTATGACTTTTAATGAATTCTTGTGGTTTCTCTCAATATGCCAGGGAGACAACATTTTCTGCTCTGAAAAGTTTAGAACAATATTGAAAAGTTAATAATTTCTCACATTTTTCAAAGAGCAGAGTTCTGTAAATGTTATATTTAGCCATCATCTAGCTCCTATGTGAGCTATCTCACAGGCAAATTAAATTTTTCACACAATGTCAGTCCCTGGCTGGCTGTGTTTTCCTCTCCAATGCCTTTACTCTAAGTCACAAATAGTCACTGGGCACTCAAACAACATAGTCACAGCTTACCAGGAATCTCTGTATTGCAAATTCACATAAAAAGTCAGTCACATTTCTACAATTATCTAACGTGTTTCACCTAGCATTAGCCTTAATAACAGACCCTATATATAGCAAACGTGTATTACTGAGCTGTGAAAAAGAAAATTAAATGCACAAGTCCACACCTCTATACCCTGAAACTGGGCTCCTCCATCTTAAAGTACCACTATAGTCACCCAGACCACTTCAGCTCAATTAAGTGGTCTGGGTGCCAGGTCCCCCAGGTTTTAACCCTACAGCTGTAAACATAGCAGTTTCAGAGAAAATGGGGACCTAAGGATTATATACTGCCAGAAAAACGAGTTTGTTTTCCTGGCACTATAGTTATCCTTTAATGACCTGGGAAATTCTGTCCTTTGTACCTGGTAGGCAGCATAAAGAAAGCATAATTTCTCCTCTTCGTCTGCAATGTTTGCCCTGGCTTTGCCTTGTCTGGACTGTATTATGATATAATTTGCTAAATTTTTTATATAAATTTTAAATATAGCAGGTAATCTCATAAAAAAAAAAAAGGTTATCACAAGTTAGAGGTGATTTTCAAAGTGTTAGTCCATGTTGTTCCTGAAAAGGGATGCTTACACCTTATATCCGTGGCTCCACTCCTACGTCCCCACCGCTGCTGCTGACTAAGGCATGGCTTCTGTCTGCCCGCTCCTGCTTCAGGAGGCTCAATGCCCTGCCGCTCCGACCAGCTCACAGAAACAGCCCTGCTGCAAAGTAAACTGAGCACTGTAGCTCCGGATCGCAGTACACGTGCGAACGCCGGAACTTCAGTGCTGAACTTGTGCCTGGCCAGCACAGGTCAGCCTCCACCTCCCGACAGCCTTGAGTTTTTAACATTTTGGGCAGTCTCACAGCCTGCCCCTGTGGAGGTGCTGATGGGAGGGAAAGCAAAGGTGTTGCCCATATAACTATTATCATATTAAATAATGACAACCGCCGCATCAGAGTGACGCCAGGAGCAATGATCCCACCGGGACCTGTGGACAGGCCCGCCCTGGTTCCACTTTAAACACTAGTTTAATAGTTTAGAGGTGGATAATCTGGCTTGTAATGTAAGGGTTGTGAGTTTATTCCTGCTTGGTGATATTTTAACTGCTCTATGTGACTGACTGACTGCATGCCGGCTGGGCCCAGACACAGGATAGCTGGAGCACTCTCTGCATGGTACTGGTGCCCATAGGGTTAGTTCATACCTCCTTTTAATTTGCATTGTGTACCTTGACTGTGCCTCGACTGGACTGAATTGTGTGGATGTCACTTATTAAATCTTTAATATAAATTTAAAAGAAAACAGAGGATCTTGTGAACAAGGTTAACACAAGGTATAGGTGGTTTTCAATGTTTTATTCAGTTCTGTAATTTCACAAGAAGTGACTGATAACCTTTAAAGCAGTGGTGTCGAAAAAAGGTAAATCCCCAGATGTTGATCAGCTCCAACTCCCATGATGCTTTGCATGCCTTTAGAATGCTTTATAATGACACAGCCTCATGGAAGCTGTAGTTCTACAATACCTGGGGATCTACATTTTGGGCATCCCTGCTTTAAAACATATTTTAACGGCACTCAGTGAAAACGGTTACATTATGTTAATCAGCACGATTATTAGATGATGTTGCCACACAATGATGCAGCAGATTTATTTGGTTAAATTAAATATAAATGTTTACTACGAAGTCATGTGCGCACTCACATCCTTCTTCCCGTGAGCTAATGATGTATCTGAGAATACCACATCTTGTTATTCATTAACGCATAACACGCTAACAAGTGCAGTATAAACAAACAGCAAGCATCCGAAATATCACTAAATAATAATACGATGCTTGAAGTAACCCTTTAAGAATTTTATTTTACATAACTGAATGTGCCAAGCTTCTCTGTAAAAAAATAAAATAAATAATAATAATATAGGTGATTAGAGGTAATTGATGTGAATTTCACTTTCTGTAGTCACCTGTCCACAAATTGTTCTTAGATTAATCCAATCACAGATACGTCTAATTTTTAACCCATTAATTGTTTTGGCAGTTTCCTTGTCACTGTGTAAAGGTTGTATGTATGCCTGCCTAAAATAAAATAAAAAAGAAGTGTTTTACTTAAATAAAATAAATCACAAAATAAAAAGCTTTCATTCTCTTATGGGACTGTTTCTTGTTTAATTAAAGGGACAATCCACAGCACAAATACAAAGAAGACAAACTGTATAGTAGATCTACCCCCAGTGAAAATCTGCATGTATTTAATTATGCTTTTTTCATTGGAGTTATAGCTAAAAACAGCTTACAAAACCTGCAGATCTCTTGTCTAATGCCTTTGCAAGCCCACCCTTTCTAACCCCACCCAGACTTTCTGTGGCTGCCCAATCACAGACTTCCCAATGAGAAGTCTTTGCAAGGCAGGTGCTCTGGGCAATTGCCGCCTCTTGAGTTTAGTTCCACTGAGCTAACGAAGCTTTGTGCAGCACCCATGTAAAAACACAACCCATGCCACAGCACAATCTGTCCTGGAGAAAACATTACACTGTCATCAGCCCTTCAAGCAGTTAAATTAAGACCACTTGTATATTTAAATATAATTAATAAACATAATAAACATGCATTTGTATTATTTTCCTTCCTTCTGTACTGCCCCTTTAAACATAACTCTACAGAAATAAATAATGTATTCACATGAGACGAACTGAGCATAAAACATCACAAAATTCTCACACCAAGGGCTGGTGCAAGGATTTTTGGCTACATTAGTAAAGTCACATTTTGCCACCACCTCGACATTCACACTACTCAGTGCGGGGCTGCTTGGATCCACTTGGCTCTCACTTAGCACCACTAGAGTAGACACCTGCTGTGTGGGTAGGCTGGTGCCAACTCTTCCAAAGTGTAGGGTAGACTGTATGTAGGCGCCCACACCCAGCGGCAAACTGGTCAAGCTGCTAGGTAGTAACTAAGATTTTTTGGGGGAACTATGAGACTACATTTGAAATTTGTGTGTTATGGGATTAACAGAAATTAATTGAGAGAGTAACGGGGTTATACACTAAACACTGGATCTTGTCAAAATTGTTGTCCCTACTTTTTATGTTAAACTAAAAAAACTAAAGTGGATTTTAAAAAATTAAAAACCAAAAAAATATTTTCAAAATTTAGCCTAGACGTGACCCTAATTCAGTTGTAAAATCAGCACTTTTATTTAAATTCACCACAAGTTTGTGTTTAGTGATTGGATCTCAAATATGTCCCTTGTGACTGAACAATATATCATTATCTTCTGTGCAGCCATATTTATCTTACCACTAATAGAAATACAGTGTAGTCTTATACACAGCAGTCTCTCTGCCCGGATACTGTTAAAGCACTTTTTCCCAATGGGTACATGGCATCATTACCTTTTGTGTGTATTTTGACCCACTTTTATAGACACAAGATCATTTGAATAAGACCCTTATCATCTCCTCTTCCTATGAAAAGCCTCATTTCCTATTTTGTTCAATGCTTTGGAATTTGTTGAAAATAAATAATAATATTAAATCATTTTTGTGGTTTTTATTAATTTTCAAAATTATGTAAACATACCTGGTGTGAAAAATATGAGTAACAATAAAATTACTCTCCCTTCCTCTTGCATTTTGATCACCGGCTCAAGTTCAAAATCATAGTGAATCTCAAAGTTAACTGATTTTTTTTTAATGCAGAGCTGTTTTAGCTTCACAAACTCTTATACTTTCTTATACGTCCCAACTGTACCTATTTAGGAAGGACATTCTGTATTTTGGGACCAAATCCCTCGGTCCCTCTTTTCTATCCTAATGCCCCTATTTTCTAGGAGCTCAGTATTGTTGATGTGTCTAAGTGTATAACAGAGCTCCACAGCAATAATACTACCAATATTGGACAGACACAGCAAGTCTGGGTTAGAAGGAGAGGGCTTATAAAGGCAGCAGACAAGAGATCTGTAGGTTCTAAAATACTTTTTTTTTTAGATATTCTCCTAATGAAAATAAATTAACTTCACAGAAACAATTAAAGCCGGTAAATTTTTTTAGACATGCAGGCTAGGTGACTTTTGTTATAAAGTCAAGCATTGTTTTAGGTGTAAGGAATAAGTGCAACATAACCCACCCAGCTCACCATCTGAAGAACTCGATGATCTCCTCGTTAATCTCATTCATGTCCAGATTGCACTCCTAAATCCACAATTAATGCTGCTGCCAGGCTCATTTTACTAACCTCCTATGGCTGCCACACATTTTATATCACCTATGTATATGTAACAATCTCAGGACAAGTGATCGGTATAAAACACTTACAGTCCCTTTTAATTTTAGCAACAGAGTTACATAGATACAAAGATATTGTACAACGAGCATTTTGGGGTATCAAGTCAGAGCATCAACAATTATAATAATTATTAGCATGTACATAGCGGATTATTTTCCACAGGGCTTTACAATTTTACAATGTGTTAGGAACAACACATAAGAGATAATATATATATAAAATGTAAGATATGACAGGTGTCAATAGGAATAGAAGGTGACAAGGGCCCTGCCCAAGAGAATCTACAATCTGGCGTTATTAGCTAACATTTCCCATTTCCCTATTGCTTTTCTAAACCTTTCAGGCTATTCTCTATAAAAATATTAATTAAAATGGTTTACAGCAGATAATATGTTACGGTCAGATAAGGTACCCAGATACATTGTACTATTTTCTTTTATGACTGTTAAAGGTAATCAGATGGACCGTCCTGTGCAAGTCACATATAGATCGTGGGCCATAAAACTTGTGAAATTGTGAAGCAATTATATAAACAATGGGTTCCGAGTGTTACTAAACACCTAGCAATATTTCTTCAAACAAAACTGCTTCTTCAGAATTTAAAAAAGAAAACTAAGATGACACTTGGTGTCTTGGTGTCTATGGTGTTAGTATATGCAAAATGTTTTATTAATAGCATAACAGACTCAAATATATTGGAAAACGCACTATTCAATGTAAAGATCTGCCCCCGAGATACACATAGTGCTAATAAACACACTAGTTATTGCACACAATAACTGCAGTAGGTAATATTAATGTATACTCCAAAAAGTACAAATCACTGTTTAGTAGATAGACCCTCCAATGAATACACACATGTATTTTTCATACATGTAGTCATTGGGGAGTAAATCTTAAAAGCCATCCCATGTTTCCGTTTTCCGCCGCCATCTTAGCTAGCCGTGTTTCACCCCAGCTCCGAAACTCACCTCCACAATCAATAGCAATCCGACGCTGCGGGGCCATGCTGACTGGTTCCAGGAGGTGCTTTGGCACTGTGTGCTTTCAGGCAGTCGGACCGGGCTAGGCCCATGTAAAAAAAAAAAAAAAAACACTTTTTTTATTTTTTTTTATTTTTTACACACTACTCTTATGTTTGCCACCTGACTGATATTTTAAGGCACAGCCGGTATTTGAGGAAATACAAATGCAAATATTTTCTAAGTATAAACTGAGATTACTCTGCAATACCAGCACCGGCCAGTCTGGGGTCACTGTGTATGGAGATTGGCAGGGATAGGAAGTTACAGCATCTCCCTGACTCTCTCTACTCACTGATCCGCGGGGGAGCAGCTACACAACACAGAGAGTCCAGACAGCAGCCCCCAGTCTGCAGAGACAGACTACAGCTCAGGTATGTTAAGGATGGGGGAAAGGCAGCAGGGAGACATGGGGACACTGAGACACTAGGGGACACATGGGGACACTGAGACACTAGAGGACACTGTGAGACATGGGGATGCTGTGAGACATAGGGAGACACATTGGCACACGTAGACACTAGGAACACAGTGTCTCCATGTCTCCCAGTGTCCCCATGTCTCCCAGTCAGTGTCCCTAGTGTCTCAGGGTCCCCATGGCTCCCAGT